AGTATGAGCGCGCGGGGGCAGCGAAGATATCAAGAAAGAGAGGATTACAGTTACAACCACGTCCGCCAAGACAAGAATTACACTTACACGTAAGATTAAGGTTCGGAAAAGTCAGAGCACAGATCCTGATGCAGCAAAGCGTGCGCAAGCAAGAAGCGTCGTGCAGCAAAATTGTGATGCACCCAAATTCCTAGCCTAAATCCTAATTGCAAAAAGAAATTGAGAGAGAAAAATTCCGAAAGCCCACGGGGGCTTGACATCAGTTGAAAATTCAAAAAGATTTTCCCGCACGACGATCACGCCAAAATTCCCATTTCCCACAGCAGAACAAGAAAGAAGCTATGGCAACAGTTATCCTTCGTGCTCGCTAAGGCACAATTAACTACCACCTGTCGTGGGACCATACCAGCCTCAATTCCAAAACAAACGAGGGTATTCATGCAGTTCGTGACGCGCCCCTCTCGATCAACCCCTGAAGTAGCCTTGCGCAGAAAGTCGCGCGGTTGCAGAAGATAGTTCGTCACAACCCCAGGATCAGCTTGAGGCGCTGGTAGGAGTAGACACCTCAAGCTTCCTTTCAATGATAAGTACCCCACCTTAAATATACAGCTAGAGTTTGTGGTGGGAGAGTAGAGGGCGTGAGTCACTGGTCGGCTTGGTGGGCTCCAACTAATGATGATGATAGGTGTCTCGATGATAGGTACCCCACCTTCAATATACAGCTATGTCTGTGGTGGGAGAGTAGAGGGCGTGAGTTACGGGTTGGTCAACTTAGGGGCTAATAGGTGATTGCTTGAGCCTTTCATTCCAAGTTCCCGTACGACGAGGCTCGTTTGACTACGCTTTCACCAGGGTTGGGTCGCTAGCCCCGGTGCCTGTCGCAACTGTTTGGTCCAAGTTCCCCTCGATACTGATAGGGTGATGGTCCTGAGTGCTGGTCACACTGAGGTAGGATAGTAGGGATAGGGGATGCGCTACGAGTATTGATGCGAGGATGGGATGGGAGGTGGCCTTGTCTCCTCAGGGCGACCACCGGACCAAGCAGATGGCACACAAGCACGCCAACCCGACCAAGCGGTGCGCTTGTGTCTCGCCTGCTTGGTCCGGTTTGTGTGTTTGTGTGCCGTCTGCTTGGTCTGCTTGACGTACTTATGTGTCATCTGCCCTCCTGCCTCCCCCTTGCCCTGCCGCAGTTGCTGGTAAGCTCCAAAAGGAAGAACCACACCGAGTATTGACAAGGACATAAGAAGGTAAAGGAAAAGACTAGCAGGATAGAGAAAACAATGAACAGCAACCAAGAAACAACCAGGCAAGAGCAGGGAGGCAACACATAGGCTGGAGGGCACAGGGGGAGGAGGGAAAGCAGACAGCACACAAGGTATTGAGGGAAAGACAAGGCGACAAGGCATAGGATCACAAACAGCAGCAAAGGCCAAAGGCTGGAGGGCACGGTACACAAAAACATGAGGCGTGGGAGAAGGCAGGATGGAGGTTCGATATGGCGGAGGGAAGTAGGAGGAAGATGACGAAAAAGAGGTGGAAGATGGCGGAACAGCAGGAACGAAGTGGCGGGAGGGAGGTAGAGAATGGCGGAAGAGCAGGAACGAAGTGGGGGGAGAGAGGTGGAGGATGGTGGGAACGACGAGGGAGATGGCGGGAGTGGAAGTAGGAGGTTGCGGGAGGGACGAAGGAGATGGCGGGATGGGAAGTAGGCGGGAGCGGGAGGGAGAGTAGGAGATCGTGGGAGGGGAAGAAGAAGGTAGACGACAAGGGAGGAGGAAAAGAAGAAGACAAAGCAGAAAAAAACTTTGCAATTCTTTTTCTGAACACCACGCTGGGGCCACACGGGGCCCGTACAGGGGACTCGCATGGCCCTGCGGCCGTGCAAAGATCCGTGCGTGCCAGGGGCACCCGTGCGCACGGAAATGAAGCCTTTTTTTTCTTTTTTTTTTTCTTTTTTTTTCTTTTTTTTTTTTGGGCCCGGCCGGGCAAGTGACACCTGAGGTCCTTTTTTGTCAAACTTGCCACCGATACATAAGAGTGGACGCCATATTAATTAACACAATTTAAGTTATCAGCAAAAAAAAAAGGAGAAAAAAAAACTCAGAGATGTCAGCTGAGTCATTTTTAACAAGATGGATGAGAAGGTCAGGAGACCCTGGGGCAACCAGGCACACTTGGCGCAATGAATAATTATCGTCATCGATTAACGAAAGCTCAATCAAGTAAAGTATGAAAACTTCTACGAAGACAAAATTCTGAGTGGCATTGAGATGAGACCTGCTTCCTCATGCCATGCATTGAGAACGAACAGAAACGATTGTGCAGATTTATTTAATGCAGGAATTCGACCTGCCATCGTTCGGGATCAAACGACGGCGCACAGGCACTATTGACAGCAGGTTGTGCACTGTTGTTGCGAACGAATAGTCACACAGACGAAAAATTGCTGTTGATTACCCAACAAATGGCCCACAGGCCGTATTGACAAGGACACACAAAACACACTGTCCAGGAAATAGAGTTCATATTGTCCCTCCAAAGCCACACACATGGGATGACTTCTGCAAACATACTTCCCATGGAACAAAGACTAAACAGGGCCTGCCTGAACCAGGCGCCAATAGCAGTGGTGGAGATGAACAGCGACATCGACATGCTCATTCCAAACACCCTAAAGTGCATAAACCCCTACAAAACCTAGTGACTGAACTTTACTCGATACACTGATGAAATCTGCAATGGCAAATAACCATCGAGCCCCCGGTGGTCACGTATCAAAAAGTGACCACTTCAAGAGGAACTCATGTGACGGCACACACACTGTCCTCCTATTCTGGATGCAAATCCTGTTCATGCTGTCCTTGCCCGAAACATTCCCCCTCCCCCTCCCCCTCCCCCACGCCGGCCCTTCTTCGCCTCTCTCTCTCTCTCTCTCTCTCTCTCTCTCTCTCTCTCTCTCTCTCTCTCTCTCTCTCTCTCTCTCTCTCGCCCCATACATTTGGTTTGCTGGAGAATTCAGAGCTTTGGAGATGGAGTAGAATAAGGCCATTGATCTACTCTGAAGCTGAGGGTGCTGATTCAGTGATTCGTGCACGGCTCGCAGACTCGTTAACGGTTAACACCCTGCAACGTCATCAGCAGCATGCCTCCTACTGACAGCCTGTCATCTCGTCAGCATTCCAACGCCTTAAGCCGCCAGAACACAGCCCCAGTCTTGCTGAAAAAAAACTCATCACCTACGAGAGGCCATCCGAAAAAGATGGCGCAGGCACACCTTCGATAAAAAAAAACAAAACGGTGCCCTGTGTCGCGTTTTGGATTCTGACAGGTGCCCGCGGCCGATAGCTGGATGTACCTGTGACTTCAACAGCTTAGTCAGTATGGGATACACATACATTCCGCAGCTTCCTGCATCCCTCACTTCGCCGTGCCTTTAGCCGCCGCTGGTGTTCAGTGGGTTTCCACTGCACACAGAAAACCATCCACCCCACTGTGCACAACGACATAGACGTCTTTCTTTTCACCGTATCAAGGCCCGGTTTGCTGATCAGTCCCACTGCACAACGACGTAGACGTATTCCTTTCCGCCGTATCAGCGCCCGGTTTGCTGAACAGTCCCACTGCACAACGATGTAGACGTCTTTCTTTGCACCGTATCAGCGCGCCCGGTTTGCTGATCAGTCATCAGGAAAATCATCGATGAACTCATCCGACATGTACTTCTCCTGTATCTCTCCTGTTGTGCACACCATGTCAAGGTCCTTAACTGACGAGAACAGGCATCAAGCGTTAGTTACCTTAGGAGTAACGCGAGAGCAGAGCTCAGGAATTCACTGAGGACAGACGTCAAGAGTCAAAGAGTTAGTTACCGGAGAGAAGATCTCAGGAATTCACTGAGGACAGCACTCAAGAGCTGACTCATGACAGCAGAGAGATGAAAAGAGTCAGATCAACCAAACACATCAAACCACCAGCACCTCCGAAAGTCGCTTCCGCATGCAGCCGCGACTTTCGGCGGATGAAAGGGGCATTACTGAAGTGCCCAAATTCACCTCAGTCAATTGCTTCCACTCTATTTTCCCCGCGGCCGTTGTATGAGAAAGTTACGGGTGGTATAACCAGCTCTTTGTTCTTCAAAAACATCCAGTACATGGGACGCTGGACCCGTTTTCCAGCAGGTGATGCTCCCCACCAATAGATGGAGCCTCTCCCCAGGTGCTAGTGGTGTCTGCTCTTACCAGCACCACTAACACCGGGGGAGGAGTTAAAAAAAAAAAAAAAAAAAAAGAAAAAAAAAAGGACAATGGGGAAGAGTAAAACCAGAAGGAAATCCCACATGAACTCATGTTTGCCTGGCCTGTTTCATTGAGAAGATGTACACTTAGTATTTTGGCTTTGCTCCATCCTCCTCCCTCTTTTTTGTGGTTATCCCAACTTATTCGGAGGATATGAGAAAGGAAAGAGCGGTTTTACCAGCAGCTCTTTACAAGAGGAGGCACTTCGTGCCTGCCTTCGGTCGGCGTCCGATATCTCGGCATCGGGTTTCAGCTTTTCTATTTCACTCCCCCTACAGAAGAACAGCTGACCGCCTCTTGACTTCAACCACCAGTACAACCGAAAAAGCAGATTGAGCCTCTCCTAAAAATTCGGAGGCCATGGACCATCGATAAAATGAAGCGCCGGTTCATGGCCTCCTATTTTTTAAGGAGAGGCTCAATCTCCTTTTCGGATGTAGTTGTGGTTTATTGAAGCAACAATATCCTGGGGCCCAAAGACAACAGGATGAGGCCGGAGCGGGTAAACGTCTCCAGCACCGATTGGGCAATCCCCAGATGAAATTCTACCGCAGAAAGAAATTTGAGGTGATTTTTGGACAAGAAGAGAGAAAGGCCCCCGCCCCAAAGTCAAGTAATGAGCGTGCGCCCACAAAAAATGACGAAGTTCACCTCAGAACATTATCTTGGAGTAGACGGGTGGGGTGAAAGAAGTCATGTAGGGCCCTCGGCTGGGAAATGGCCTGAGCTGCCCCCCCCCCGCCCTCCAAGTACAAATCAAACCCCCTTCAAAAACGAAGGGGACCCGTACAAGCCAAAATGATTCTGAGAATTTACGACCCAGTTTTGGCCCTTTTGGGTCAGCTTTTTTTTTTTTTTTTTTTTTAAGTTTTGGGTCAACTACACCTAAAAAAAAGTGAACTACAGGTGAGAGGGAGTAGGGAGAGAGCCCAACAGAAGGCCTCGTAGCGATTTTGGACCTGGGACACGCTCAAATTTGAAGAAATCTAGGTCGGTCGGATCACACTAGGACCCAAAAAAAGAGAGAATTGGAGAGAAAAGGGAGAACAAGTTTGAGATGCAATGAAAAACGGAAGTCCGATGTAACTCGACACACGCTAGACTCTAATATTTAACGAGTGGTTGCTAGGCGCAGCTTGGCCCTCGGCACAGACGAAAGGTGGGAGGAGGGGGAAAAGGTCCCTCTCCCTCCACGTCAAAAATGGATAAAGAAAGGAAAAGCAGGAGGGCCTTTTTTTTTTGAGGCACTTTCTATCTTTTTCGGTGCTCCGTGGGCTTGGTGCAGTCCCATGCCCCCTTGGTGTGATATAGTGGGCTGAATTTGGTCGCTATCTCGGCACCCTATGAGCTGAGCTGAGCTGAGCTGTGCAGTACTATGTGGGGGCTGGCTGGAGCAAGCAGGATGAGGGACGGTCCAAATCATTTCCTAACAGTCCACGATCCGCAGTACTGAGACGTCAATTTCCGTGAGATGTCCTCTTCTGGCATGCATTCATATGACTTGACCCATGCCAAGTCAACTGCCTGCAAGGTAGCCATCTGCCTATGCTGATTATCTGATGCAATCGCGGCCGTCTAAGATTTTTGTACCTGTCCTGGCATTTTACGCAACATCTGCTCCTTCTTTCAATCCAACCCAGAGAGCATACGCTGGAACCAGTGAACCATTCGAATCTCTTTTCGATTGGGGCCGAGGGCTCGTAGTACCTACCACACTTCGCACCTACCGGCATAGGGGAAGGAGCCTAAATCGACGGACTTGAACCGCGAAAAACCAAGCACATACCATACTTGAGAGTTCAGGACACTTCTTTGTGTGTTTAAGGCCGACAAATGGGACTAAGCATGGTGCAAGCCAGACAAAGGTGTGATCAATACTTCCTGGACAAGCGGGTGACTGTTGATTTACGATCGGAAAACAGGAATTGCGGGTGCTTGGGTAAGCAGCTGATTGCTGAGTGTAAAGGTTTATTATACAGGCCAGCTATCTGAGGAAGTTTGATATCCCAATCAAGTTGATCAGGGGTGATGCAATGCCTACGTAATGCCTAAAAAACTGCTGCACTTGTTTCTTCTCCGCAGCTTGGCCGTTCCCTTTGGGCGACTGGAAGCGTTCAGGACCCAACATTTCAGGCTCTACAGTAGCGGTGGTTTAGAAGTCAGATGAGCTCCCGCGGCCATTACGGGAGGAGCCCTGACAGGGAGAGAACAGGCAAGGGATCACAGCACTGCCCCCCATTCCCCTACCCCCTTGCGGAGGGTCTCGTGCGGCAGGCCTCTTAGGCTGATCTTGATTCGTCTGTGTCCGTCGCTCTTTTATCTGAAACTTGCTTGCCGGTGATGAGCAACCGGACTGCTCTGCACCCAGAAAATATCTGAGGCTTTTCTTCTCCAAAAAAAAAAAAAAAAAAACGACAAGTCAAATGAACTGGGGACCACATGGCGACCACATACATGTGACCTCTTGTTTCCATCCCTTCCTTGTCACCAAGGGTCGAGCAGTCGGACCACGTAAACCAAGACTGATCAGTTACCTTCGACATCCGACAAAGCGGCACGCAGTCAACAAGACATAAAAAAATGAAAGGCAGAAAAAGGCAGACAGAGAAAAAAGTAAGGTTGTCCCAATCTTGAGTCGAGGCTCGAAAGTCGTGAAGTGCAAAGTTGCAAACACATTGTGGAGAGACTTTTATGAAGTTTCATCAGAACTCTCAATTTTACAAAAGCACATGATCGATCACAAAGCGACTGCAAGGATATCTGTAGTAATCCCAGTTGAGGGGTCCAGCCGCGACTTTGCAAAACTCGTTGATGTTGCCTTCAATGCCGGCGAACACATATCCATTGCTTTTGTCTACAAGCTTCATCAGATCGTTTACGCTTTCTTTATCCTGTAAGAAAGACCAACATTCGATCGATCATCATCACCCTAACAATCGTCATTTTCTGCGCCATCATCGCCATCCTGCTGGAGTCACTGTGCTGTTTTTCATCCAAACCTGAGAGCATCAGTGAGGTGATTTTTTTTTTTTTTTTTTTTTTTTTCCGGTGAGGTGATTTCATCGTGTGCACGACACCCAGCTTGAAAACATAGCAGCAGAAAATGCAAAGCGTTGCAGCAAACTCATTGACGTCATCAGAAAAGCCAGTTCTTAGACCACCACTGCCTTTTACATGTCGCCTGGTTAGCGGGAGGCTCACCCTTTTTCAGTTTACCCCTGGGGGCTACCAACCGGGCCGCCTCGGGCAGACCGGCCGGGCAAGGGCCCGGGAAGGTCCCTACAAAAAAAAATATATAATAATAATAAATCAAAAACATCCGGAAAAAAAACTATGGTATGCAGGGACATAAACTGAACAAGTTTTGCATCAGGGTCGCATCAAAAATTTTAACCCAAAAATAAATTAATAAAACAAAATTAATAAAATAAATTAATAAATTAATAAACATTATTATGATTATTTTAATATTTTTAACTTTTTTTTTTTTTTTTTGGCCCGGCCTGGCAAATTATGAGGGTATAGCCCATGCAAGTTTTTGTTTTCATACCTATGTTGTAGAAACTTGTACTCATGTACGGCAGTTTGACATGGCATGTCCTATTTGTGGACAGGGTCTAGAACGGCAGTGCCTATGCAATTGTGGTTGCTGTGCCTCTTATGTTCCTAGTGCAAGGAATATGAGTGTGAACGATATACAGAAAACCAAGTTGCGGAATCACACAGATGTCTTAGTCATGTACAAGCAGAGAGCACAAATGCACCGAGAATCCATCCAAATAGAGCAATACAATGAAGTAACGAGCCAATGTTCAAGCCCGTAGGCCACACCAACACACTATCCAAAGTTGCTTCTCTCTGTCTGGCGGCCAGCGCCCAGCCTACTGTACTCGCCTATCCTACCTACAGCTGTGTTCACGCAACAGTCTCACTTCGACTCTCGAAGGCCAACGTACATGATGTCAACACCATAGCCGACCTCTGTTCATGCACCAGGTACGTATCTCGTCACCCTCATCAGACCTTGATACCCCACACTTCGCCTCCTTCCCTGAAGACCACCAGATCGCCCTCTTACCCCCTGGCACCCAGCAGCCCGGCTAGGGCTGCCTGCACCCCGCTGCCCTAAAGCGCCCCACTTCACCTCTATGCGCCCCGTCAGCGCCCTTGGTCGCAGCGCAGCATCAAGCAGTACCGCAGCAGCACTTCCGCATTGCCTACGCAGGCCAGAATGCTTGGCCTGGGCGGCCTCCCTTCCTATATGGAAGTGGCAGCCTCCTGGATGCTGTGTGTGGCCTGGCCGGAAGCTTCCAATAGTTTCCGGTTGGGCCTCAGTCCCTGCGCCCAGGCCCGAGACTACAATTGAGGGCCCGGGCCCCTTTACAGTTGGGCACGGCTTGAGTCTCCGGACTCGGGCTGTTTGCTGCATCTGTGCAGGGCTCCCAGGTAGGTGTGTCGACAGTACTGCTTTTGCATAGGCCGACGGCCTGCTTCTCAATGTATCGGCCCTGCTTTGTGTGTATGTGCCCAGGCGCAACTGTCAAGGCCTGGGCCAACTGTACGACGCAGCTTAGTGCGGCTCACGCGTCCACTCAACCAACTGGCATGCTGCAAGAGCCTGAATACCCACATATGAAAGTGTCAAATTTTGGCCTTTGACGAATATTCAGGCCCGCATTCCCTTAGGGCGGGCACTCGGCTTGCTGGGGGCCTTTGCCCAGAACATGTGATGTCTGATAGGGGCCCGTGAGGGCTTGTTCGTTGCACTAGCATGTGGGAGTCATGTTCCCTGTAAAATCTGCCTATACCATGGCATTCAATGCCGCAACTGCAACTGAGAGAATTGGATGCGGTGCGTCCACAGCCTGCACCTGGACCAGTTCTCTCCTCCCTCTACTCTCCTCCTCTCTTTTCCTCCCTACTAACTACTAAATGCATACGAATGAGCATCACTAAGAAACCAGACAAAATATAAGCAGGTGTTATTGTAAGCAAACACGTGCAGATGCATTCCAAGCTGAAGTACACACGTGGTGGACCTTGCACCTCTCAGAATACAACAATGAGAAGGCCGTCTCATCAAAATATTACCATCATTTAAAATTCATTTTATTTTACATATTATGTATAACTTGATATAGAAGATTGTACGCTAAGGCTGTTTAAAAAAAAGAAAAAAAAAAGGAAAAAAAAAGGCTGTTTCGATTTCGCATCTACTCATCTGGGTGGGGAAGCGGTGACAGTCTAAAACACACACACACACACACACACACACACACACACACACACACACACACACACA